CCAATCCGTTGGACTATTGTGTCTGGCACTAAAAATACCAAAGAGTCAATAATCTCAAGCAAGCGCTTCGCCGGGAATGGGCCAAAATGCCGCAGAGCAACATTCGGGCAGCGTGTGACGGTTTCGTTGGCGGTTTGAAGACCAGAATTCGTAGCAAAGGTGACCAATTCGAAAAAATCTAAACTTATTCTAAAATTTGATGCTGTTTCCAACATTTTTTTCTTTCATTAATTAAAATTTAAAAAAAAAGTAAAACTTATGGCGTTTGACTTTGACTTTGGCTCAAATTCCAATACAATTTGGCAAGTTTTTCTTTTTTTTTTTTTGATGCCAAATTTTCAAATTTTATTAGAATCGGGCATATATATCACGTCGGGTGTATCAGATATATAAAATCGCCAGAAAATATACATAGTAGATTTATCCAAATCTGAGCTGAATTTAATATAATTTGGCAAATTTTTTTGGCACCAAATTTCGTCACTCATTGCAAATTTCATTAAAATATAACATATATAACGTGTTTGCTGCATCAAATAAACGAAATCGGTTGAAAATATATATGGAAGCAATATCCAAATCTGAACCGATTTTAATATAATTTGGCAAATGTATGTTCGTCTTAAATTCCGTTACACATTCCGAATTTGATTGAAATGTGGAGTACACAGCGTGTTTAATGCGTCAAATACATGAAATCATCTTGTTCCAAACTCCGTTACGCATTCCAAATTTGGATACTGTATCTGTAATCGATCAATAGATATGTGCATATTAAATCAAAATTTTTGGGAAAGTACCTCCGATTCTGATGATATATCTCCAGTTCCAAGTGGAATTTTAGAAATTTATATAGCTTATGTTACTTTTAAGCGATGTTGTAGTATACTTGGAAATTTTCAGGAAAGTATGGTCAGCAGTTTTTGAGTCCATACATTACAAACATACACACATTTTCCTCTTTTATAGATATAGAAGAAGATGTTTTCTTTACCCAAAAGTGGAGAGTTTCAAAGTTCGGCTCGGCCGAACTTAAAGTGTTTTTTCTTGTTTAAATATAAAAACAAAAAAAAAAAAAAAACAATTAAAATTATTTAATTAAAAAAATGAGGGAAAAATATCAAATAAATGAGATTCCAATTTTGAATAATTCTTAATTCTTACCCCCTATTGTACCATATATAGTACTATATTGCAGGTTCTGGAACATATGTATATTAAAAAAATAATACACCGCTTTAAAGGTGTAGATACATAAAATGCTGTTTTATTGGTTTAAATCATCAGCGGCTTCTAAAAAAATATTTCAAGTGGTTTGAAAGTTAGACGGACAGACAACCTGGTATCGCTGGATCTACTTTCAATTTTAAGTTGATCATGAATAAATATACATTGTAAGGTCTAACCTGATTATTTTGAGGAGTTACAAACGAAATGACAAAGTTAATATACCCTCCATGGTATGGTGAAGGGTATAATTCAGGATAATCTCTTTGTGGTTTTCTTTCTTATCATTCCCGCCATATACAACGTTCTTATTATCTATTTTACGCTTCCAAAGGTTGTTTCAATGTCAATTCTTATGCTGGGTTTGTTGTTTTCGGAATATGATTTTGCATTTTTTTATAAAAAAAAAAAAAAAACAAAACAAAAATACAAAAACGAAATTCATTAAAAAATGCTAGAAAAAAAATGACAACATCACCACTCGTCAGCAAAGGCATGCTACATATACTTGTCGACGTGTTTGGTCTGCTGATAAAGACGAAGCTAAAAAACAAAAATCAACCAAAAAGGCCAGCAAGTGATAAATATTCACCTATCATGCTGAAAGAGACCGGCCCCCATTTTCTGGTTTTGTTTATCATTTTTGTTGTTTTTTGTTTTGTTTCTTTATTTGCGCCACCAGTGATCAGAACTAGTTCCTTTATCGCATGCAAAGTATCTGTTTTTGGAGTTGGATTTTGTGATCCACCAACCACCCCCTCTCCACTCATTTTTGGTTATTCCGTCTCATTTAGTTTGGGGAGAGAATTTGTGTTTAGATAACGCGCAAATATGTAATGTTGTGGTTCCACCAAAGAGACTCTCATTTTTTTAAAATGATAGAGCATTCGGACGTTTTGAGCATACATATTTTCATAATTAATGTTGTCAATTTAGCGCTTTTATACCCTCCACCTTGGAAAGGAGGGTATATTAACTTTTTTCATTCCATTTGTAACATCCCTAAATATTAGTAGTAGACCCCATATAATACATATATTCATAATCAGCATAAAATTCTAAGTTGATTTAGAGCGTCTAAATTTAGCAAAACAATTTGTTTTGTTGTTGCAAAATGGTCAGGCTTAATCCCTTTATTGTTGTTTTTATAAAAAAAAACGATTGTTTACTACAATTTATATTGATTGGTATTGAAAATGAGATATATAGGTCCAAGTTTTGGTATAGTACCTCCCGATATTCGGTATTTTGATGATTTTTGCCACATCTTTTCACGGATTTGTCTAAAAATTTAAATTTGTTGGTCATAATGGATTCCAGCTCCGGTGGCGAAACATTGTATGTATAGGTCCACGATTTGGTATAGCCCCCATATAACGGTACCTCCCGATATTCCCCATTTTGATGATTTTTGCCACATTTTTTCACGGCTTTGTCTAAAAATTGGTAATTGTTGGTCATAATGGGTTCTAACTCCGGTGGCGAAACGCTGAATGTATGAGTCCACGTATGCGGTATTTTGATGATTTTTGGCACATTTTCCCATGAATATGTCTAAAAATTGGTATTTGTAGGTCATAATGAATTCTAATGTTTTTTTTTACCCTAAGGTGGAGGGTATTAAAATTTAAACAGGACTAATATTTTATATTTCGGCAATAGAAGGGAAGCAAAATATTATTTCCAAAAACGTCATAAATAAATGTGAAAATAAGAATAAACGGAAAAGCTGAAGAAAAAAGTTAAAAGAAAAAAGAAAAGCAACAAAAGACTACCGTGACTCAGTTAAGGAAAATGCTGAAAGATTGAAGTCCAAGTTGTCGACACAACCCAGCGAGAGCATTATTGCGCAGGACAAGCAAGTAAAAAAAAATTACGTAGATGTGGTAGAGACCCGACTACAAGGAACAAAAAATACGGGAAGGTATGATCAAGAGTGCGGCCAGTCTCGAGTTAGCTTTGGAAGTTAACGGGTGATGACGAATATAGCCTCACGAAATCGTTGAAAGAGTTCGAGAATATTGAACATACGGTAGGCCGTGAAGCTGCAGATTTTTTACATACGGTGCTAAAAGTACAAGCTTAATTCTGCGCAATAGGAAACGATTAACGCCAGGCAAGTTCAAGAATGTAAAACTCTCAGAGCATTTAGAAGGGAACTTTTTGGATTCAGGCTAGTACGAAGGATATTAGAGATAAAGAAGAAGCTTCTATTGCGAGCTATGGTCAAAAGATAAAGGTTAAAGGAAAAACTTGAATTAAGTAGGTGTTTGGTTATAATCAAGAAGGTAGATAGGGCAGTTGGAGTTGCCAAAATTCAGAAAGAAGCTGGAGAAGTAAGCGCGAGATAAGTTCAAGAAAATTGTTGAGACAAAGTAAAACAGTCAGAGCACATGGAAGAGAACTACTTAAATCCCAGTTTAGTATTATTGATAATAGATATAAAGCAGAAACTTTTATTGCAAGGTCCCAGGCATACAGCGAACAACGGCCCAAAGAAAAAAGTTAATACAAAAACTCGTTTAAGTTTAGTGTTTTGTTCTCCTAATTGATGCAACCATGGATCCGTTGCTGATACGTCCGGTTAACGTAGGTGAGACCCTTATATGGGGGCCACTCCAAAACGGGAACCTCTATGGACAATTTTATACTTCAAGGATTGTCATCTACCAAATCTTCTTAAATACCAAATTTGAAACAATTTCATGGGTAAATGTGACTTGGATTATCACAATACCGAATACCGGTGGGTATCGTTATATGTGCGCTGTAGGGAAACTGTCACCGGAACTAGAACCCACTATGAACTACAAATAACAATTTTTAGACAAATCCGTGGAAAAATGTGGTGAAAATGATCAAAATACTGAATATCCAGAGGTACCATTATGTGGGGCTATACCACACCGTGGAACTATATACCATGTTCCGCCACCGGAGCTAGAACTCGTAACGAACTACAAATGCCAATTTTTAGGCAAATCTGCGAGAAAACAATGATGCAAAATTCTTCAAAATACCGAATATCAGGAGGTACCGTTATATGAGGGCCTATACAAAAACGCCACGGGAGTAAGAACCCACTTCGAACTACAAATACCAAGTTTTACACAAATCCGTGGGAAAATGTAGCGAAAATCGTCAAAATACCGAATATCGGGAGGTTCCGTTTTATGGGGACTATACAAAGACGTGGACCTGAAGTTCATTACGAACTTCAAATACCAAATTTGAAACAAATCATCAAAAAACCGAATATCAGGAGTTACCGTCATATTTGGGCTATACCAAAACGTGGACCTGCACAGACAATCTCTAGTCATATGCTGTAATATCAATTTCGAACTTCAAATACCAAATTTAAAACAATCCCGATGAATAGTGTCGCTAAAATCATGAAAATACCGAATATAGGGAGGTACCGTTATATGGGGGCTATAGGAAGGCGTGGACCTGCATGTACAATTTTCTGTCATAGGCTGTAAAATCCATTCTTCGCACTTCAAATACCAAATACATTTTCGGTAAATAATGTCGCTAAAATCATCAAAATACCAAATATCGGATGGTACCATTAATAAAAGTATGTTATTAACTGGCGTTTTTAAACGCCAATTTAGTTCAGACATTCAAAACAATGACAACATTTATTGTTTTAGTTTGCGTGTGAGAAGTTTTTGCTCACTTTCTCTTTGACATTTTGTGTGCCTCCCGTCTAGCCATTAGCTGTGGGTAACCAACCAAGCGATCAAGCAGGGCTATATGTTGATGTTAAACAACTAGCAAAAAAGTTTTCAGTCTGGAGTATTGACTCGTGGGCAACAGACCCCCTTCTGGCAGAAAGCAGTTCAACCAACAGCAACAGTTGGAAACTAAATACCAAAGTTTATTTGTTCCTCTTAAATCGCAACAGCAAATTAACAGACAGTGTAAGTAAACAAAAATAAATTCATTAGTGATAAGGGAATATAAAAAAATTATGACAAAAATAATATGTTTTTATTAACTAGAAAAAAAAATATTGGACTTTAAAACAAACAACAGCAACTATTTGAAAATAGTGATGAAAAACTGAAAAGATTTACTCTTAACAAATATCGGAAAAAGATTCAAAGAAAATAATACATATAAGCGTGCGTAAATTTTCCGTATGAGTTTAGAAACACGTGTGTTATGATATAAATAAATTAATTTGTGTGATAAGCATATAGAAACAGCTAGCTATTGGTTGGTATCAAAAAGATATGAAGTGCTCCCGATGAGGTGGGTGGTTTATGGAGACAACATATTCTTGTCTAATTTTTTTTAGTTTTTGGAGAATTTGACAACGTCAACGACGAAAAATATTGAAAAAATTAAACTTGTTTTTGTCGAACAAGTTTTTGTGATCATAAAATTAAATATGTGCTTCGTCTAGCACCTGCCTCCCCTTTTGGCCTCTGGTGTAGTACTGATAACAAAATATCGGTGTGTTTAAAACAAAAACATTTCTACACCTATTGTTGAAGTTGAATCTTTGAGATACATTTTAACAAATGAGGGAAAATCAACAAGAGATATATAAAAAAAATCATTGTATGACCTTGAAACAAAAATGGAGTAAAAATGTTCTGGATTGCCCTGAGAAATCGATATAATGATCAAGAACCAGTCAGCTGTGCTGTTTTGAAGATGATACAGAGGATTTTCGTCTCTTTTGTTTTAAATTTTTAAAATCAAAAACGAAAAATTACAACAAAACTGTCAAATGGAATATCACATGCCTCTGTGACGTACACAGAATGATCTTAAAAAATAATAAATAAAAATAGCCAATAAAAGACGGAATTTTCCTTTTTCAAATTTGAGGGCACGTCGCATGGTATAATAAAAAGCTAAAAAAAAATAAAAACAAAAAATATTCAATATCTATGGCTAGAAAAACGTGCATTGCGGGCCCATACTAGGAAAATAGCCAGTTTTGTCATGGAATTGAAAAACTGTACAGTTTGGATCAAGTTTTTGAAAAAAAGCCAGGCTTTCCATTCCTCTATATCTTATTTAACTAATTTTTAAAAACCAGTAAGGAAAGTCAAAACGACGGGCGGGCCGACTTTATGATACCAAAACAATTAACGTTTTTTTTTTTTATGGGAGAATACAATCATACACGCTATGATTATAATTATAATTTAAAGTTCAAAGGAATAAATATGCCGAAGCATTTGTATATTTTAAATTCGGAATTGTATTGCCCATTTGGTGCACAATTAATTTGAAATCGGATAAGGATATATATAGGAGCTATATCCAAATCTGAGACGATCTCGATAAAATTTGGCAAAGATATTTCCGAGCTGTATTTGATATATTTCCCTGAATATCGTTGTTACGGAGTGCATATTACGATTGTGGGTAACAAATATAACAAATCGGATGAATAATATATATGGAAGCTATAGCTATATCTGCACCGATCTTCACCAAATTTGACATACTATCTTCTAGACTCAATTCGGTCGAAAGTGCCAAATTCCATCCCATTTGGACAAATATTAGACGTTTGGTGCACAATAATAGGTAAATCGGACGAAGTTATATATGGGAGCTATATCCAAATCTGAACCGATCTCGATAAAGTTTAGCAAATGTATTTCTGAGCTGTATTTGATATATTTCCCCAAATATTGTTGTTGCAGAGTGCATATTACGGCGGCGGTGGACAAAAATAACAAATCGGATGAACAATATATATGGGAGCTATAGCTCTATATGAACCGATTTCGATCAAATTTGGCACACATATTTTCTGGCCCAATTTGGGTGTATATGCAAAATTCCATAAAATTCGGGCTGAGGTTACACGTTTTGTGCACAATAAAAGGCAAATCGGACGAAGATATATGGGAGCTATATCTAAATTTTGACCGATTATCTCCAATTTCAATAGAGTTCGTCCTTGGGCCAAACAAATGATCTGTGCAAAATTTCATCGGGATCAGGCAATAAATGCGACATGTACTTTGTTTACAAAAATACTCGTTTCCTTTTGCCTGTTACAAACAAATGCACAAAGACATAATACCCTGACCACCATGTGGTGTAGGGTATAATAAAAAAAACGGAAAAAATCGGATCGGATATATGGTGCACAATTAAAGACAACTCAAGCGAAGATATACAGGGTGAGATAAAAAAATACAACAAAGTCATTTTTTTTTTTTTTTTGAATGAAAGCAAAAAATGTCGGAAATAGCATCAAATTTTAGAATAAGTTTAGATTTGTTCGTTTGGCACGAATTATGGTCTTCAAACGGCTCATGAAACCATCACACGCACGATTTAGCCCTGTTCGTCCGTCCGTCTGTTGTAATCACGCTACAGTCAAAACGACTAAAGATAGGAAGCTAAAATTTTGCACAGATCAGTCTTTTGTCTGTAGACCAAGTTCGAAGATGGGCTAATAGGTTGTGAGTACTCACCGCCTGGAAGAGAATTATATATATAGGACCACGGTATCGTATAGCCCCCATATAACGGTACCCCCTGATATTCGTTATTTTGATAATTTTAGCCACATTTTTCAATGGAATTGTCTGAAATTCCACACAAGGAGTTCCTCGTAAGTACTTTACCCTCTAAGATAGAATTGTTTATATAGGTCCAGGATATCTTATAGCCCCCATATAACAGTACTCCCCGATATTCGGTATTTTGATGATTTTAGCCACATTTTTCAGTACAATTGTCTGAAATTCCACACAAGGAGTCCTTTGTGAGTACTTTACCGCCTGGAAGAGAATTATAAATATAGGACCACGATATCGTATGGCCCCCCTTTAACGGTTCCCCCCGATATTCGGTATTATGATGATTTTAGCCACACATTTCAATGGGATTGTCTGAAATTCCACACAAGGAGTTCCTTGTGAGTACTTTAGCCCCTAAAAGGGAATTGTATATAACGGACCAACCCCCCCCCCCCCCCCCCCCTACATTCGGTATTTTGATGATTTTAGACACATTTTTCAATGGAATTCTCTAAAATTCTACACGAGGTGTTCTTTGTGAGTACTTTACAGCTTGAGGGATATTTAACAGGTTTTTACAGATTTTTCAATGGATTTTAATTTTTGGAAAATTTGCTAATTCGTTCCAAATGGTGGAGGCATAATTTGGCATACATTATGTGAACACCCATATTGGACACTTTTTCGACTTTTTGGGGGTTTTATAAAAGAAATCCGTTTCCCAAAAATCGATTATTTTGCTATGACTACTCCAGAACAGGTTAGGCCTCGGACGAAAGAGGTTCGTAAGACCTAACCTCTGATACAGAAATGGATATAACCGAAGAAATAAGATAAGAAAGTACTAAAATAATTTTTTTCGTCATGTTCTACTTCTTTCAAGTATGAGCAAACGTTCTATTATTTCAATCTTCAAAACTTTATTTTATGAGTATTGAAAATATTCTACTAAATAGTTAATATTATTTAGTAGAATATTTTTATATATTATTATTATATTATATTTTACATTATATTTTATTTTATTTCACATTGATTTTTTACGACAGGTTTAGGAAATTCGATATTTTCTGAAAATGGGCGCCAACGATTGTAAGTCTAAAAAGAACAAAATTTGAAACCGCATAGAAATTGTTCTTAGCAGCATGTTACTTACAACTGGAAAAATACTAATTTTAACTAAGACATGTTTTAGTTAACTTTTATGTTTTGGAAAAAAAAAAACTTCTTCCTTTCAATTTTATAATAGTTTTAGTTCTCTTTTCCCCTCTTTAGATATTTAGCTTTGGCAAACTAACTAGCTTTCGCAAAATTGTTGCACTTTTCAAACAACAAGTTTCGACCAAATGTAAAAGTTGTTTCGAACCCAATTTTGTTCTTAGTTTGTGTTGTTCTCATTTTAATGATATTCATGTTTAATTATTACAATTAATATTTATTTTGTTATTCTATTCCAATTTTATAGCCAACATGACACAACAAGGCCAAGCCTTCGATTCCAATGCCATGACCCTGACACGTTTTGTGTTGCAGGAACAGCGTAAATTCAAAAATGCCACCGGCGATTTGTCGCAGCTTTTGAATTGCATTCAGACCTCGATCAAAGCCATTGCCTCGGCTGTGCGCAAGGCTGGTATTGCTAAATTGCATGGTATTGCCGGCGATGTCAATGTTCAAGGTGAAGAGGTCAAGAAATTGGATGTTCTGTCCAATGAGTTGTTCATCAATATGTTGAAGTCCTCGTACACCACCTGTTTGATGGTCTCCGAAGAAAATGAAAATGTCATTGAAGTCGAAACAGAGAAACAGGTGAGGAAAATCGAAATTGAAAATCTTTTGCAAATAATAATAATTTTTCTAATCTGTAGGGCAAATACATTGTCTGCTTTGATCCCTTGGACGGTTCTTCGAATATTGATTGCCTGGTCTCCATTGGCTCCATTTTCTCGATTTTCCGCAAGAAAACCGAAGGTGCCCCCACCGTACAAGATGCCTTGCAACCTGGTCGCGAAATTGTTGCTGCCGGTTATGCTTTGTATGGCTCAGCTACCGCCATTGTCTTGAGTTTGGGTGCCGGTTCCGGTGTAAATGGTTTCACTTATGATCCTGCCATTGGTGAATTCATCCTGACTGAACCCAATATGCGTGTACCCGAAAAGGGCAAAATCTATTCCATTAACGAAGGTTATGCCTCCGACTGGGAAGCTGGTGTCTTCAATTATATTGCTGCCAAAAAGGACCCCACCAAGGGTAAACCCTATGGGGCTCGTTATGTTGGCTCTATGGTTGCCGATGTCCATCGTACCATTAAATACGGCGGTATTTTCATCTATCCCGCCACCAAATCGGCACCAAATGGCAAATTGCGTTTGTTGTACGAGTGCAATCCCATGGCCTATTTGATGGAACAGGCCGGTGGTTTGGCCAGCAATGGTAAAATTCCAATTTTGGATATTGTTCCCCAAAAGATCCACGAAAGATCACCCATATTTTTGGGTTCAAAATTGGATGTGGAAGAAGCCTTGAGTTATTATCAAAAAGCTTAGGAGGTTGTAAAATGGTTATAAGGATTACTCAGACATACACACACAATTATTGTGATTATTTTAAGACTTTGTGTTTTTTTATCTCTTCATTTTCATTAACTTAAAAATATTTTTTATAAAAATAAAAATTAAAAAAAAACAAACTTAAGTTTTAACGTTTCAGATTAAAGGATGCATAGGTCTGGTTATATATACAAAGTTCTTTTCAAAAGGTCAGTCTTTTCATTGAAAGAAGGCAAAGACTTTTACAAAAAAAACAAGGGTTGAATATTCAAAATAAAATATTTTCTATTTTAAACAAATGTTATATAATACATTGTAAAAACACGCTAAAATAACTATACATGTTTTAACATCATGTATACGAATGATTGAAACATTTTAATACGAATTCGCCTTATGTTTAGGTACAAATGTAAAACCATCTGGCACGGGACCCAATAACATTTCACTTAGTTTTACCCAATCCTGTGAATTCGAGGAACTCATTAATGTTTCCATTTCATCTCGGCCCCTAAATGTTTGTGGCCGTTGATTGATTTTTTGCGGTGGTTGTAACATTAGGTCGTAAGGTATATAACGATACAGGAATGATTGCCATTCCAATAAGAAACGTCGCGTATTTTCGACACCCTTTGTATCGGAGCCCCAATGCTCAAGGCCATAGTTGACATATTTACGCATCATTTCGAAACGTTCAGTGGAACTGGGATCCAAGTGCTTTTGTTCCTTGATTTCTTGGAAAATCCATGGTTTAATCAAGGCGCCACGGCCTATCATTACAGACGATACATGTGGGGCAATTTTCTATGAAATAAAAATACCAGTAAAATATGTTTGTCCAAGATGTCATAACTTTTACTTACCCTCTTTTCTGTGTAGTCTTCAAAATTCAATATATCTCCATTTCCAATGATCGGCATATTTTTGGCCTTGGCTGCACATTCCTCAATATACTCCCAATTGGCATTGCGGGTATAACGTTGTTCTCGGGAACGACCATGAAGCTATAGGTAAAAATCAATGTTTAAAATTAAATTTCCCAAATTCCTATACCTCAGCTTACCGTTACAGCTGCTGCACCCCATTCCTCTACCAAGGGCACCAAATCATGAGCCACACTTTTATCGGCATAGATACCGGTACGCATTTTTACTGTAAACGGTATTTGTGGATTGAGAGCGGAACACGACCTAACAGTCAATTCGAGAATATTGGTACGCCTCATCAGGGCACTGCCACCACCTTGTTGATAGATCAACTCAATGGGACAGCCAATATTTAAATCCAGAAAATCAACTTTAGCCGTCTCTTGCATCAGCTGAGCCGCTTGGGCAATAATATTGGGATTATTGCCACATAACTGGACACCAAAAATATCTTCTGATTCATGGCGTTTGCTCAATGCCCATTCTTGGGTCATACCCTTGACCAGGGGTACACAACAAGCCATTTCACCGCATGTTATATCTGCTCCATACTCCTTGCATATACGACGGAATGGTAAATTTCCAACAGTTGTTAATGGGGAGAGTACTAATTTCTCTCTGAAATCAATGGGTGCTTTACGCACCGCATCCCTTCCCTTGGTGTCTTCATCACCACAAGATCCCAATGGCTTGTTTTCCTCCAAAGCTTCCATCTTCTGTTCCTCCTCTGTTATTTCTTGTTCAGTCTCTTCCTTTTCTGGCTCTGCCACATTTTCTTCTTTGACACCACCATTTTCTTCTTGCTTCTCTGCCTTCCTCTTGTCTCGCATCGACTCAGCTTGTCTGATGAATTTCTTACATTTTGAAAAATCATATTGCCTTTTACGCAAACGTATCTGCAATTCCGATGTAATACCATTAAAAGTGGTCGGTGGAGTATTTTCATCATAATGTGGCGCTTTAATATTCCTGCCCTCTGCATCCAAATGGGATTTTGCAAAGCGACAAGTCACACCACGCGGACAAAATCCTTTACTTTCGAAGACAACACATTTCTCGCCCAAGTCTTCACCCTTGGCAGCCAAATACTGTTGTAAATCATGAACATAACGACAATTTTCCAACGCACACTTGTTATCGGTGGGACCATTTATCAGGGTATTGCACAAATGTGTGGTGCGATCATCTTTGTATACTGGGCGATTCTATGGAATGCAAACACATATTTTAAACATTATCACCATAGCTTTATGAGTGGCTTACCTTATTCTGTCCCCTCTTGCGTTCCTTTTTATTATTCTTTTGGAATTTATTTGCTTCGCCATTGCCATCGTTCGTTGTCTCAGCAGACTCACTGTGTTTTCTCTTATTGCTATCGTCCTCTGCTACTGGCTTCTTTACTTCTTCCACCAAAAATCTATTAATTGTATTAATAACATTATGATCAACAATTTAATTATTTAATATTTACTCTGGTTTAATATAACAAATGCCGGGCTCCATTATTTACAAAAAATATTCAACTTCTCAAGAATTCCTCTCAGAGCTAACACGTGCAGTGCCAGCTGTCAACTCAATGAACATAAACAAACATTATAAGGGGTATTCACAGTTCTCAAATGTTTTGTATGATTAAGATTCCTTACCACAAGCTTACACAATCGCATTTTTTTTCATTTTCATATTTTTATGTACACCATTTTTCATGGGTCTCAATTCTATAAAGCTGGCCATAGACGAACGATAAATTCGAGCAATTTGTTGGGTTTGTGGTCGCGTTTTTACGTCTGTGGGGTAGTTTGCGAACAAATCATACGTGTGTGGGCTACTGCGCAAATTTTAAGCCATTTTGCCATTTCAGTTGCTCTTCAACCATTGTAACCAAGGTAGATGTACTAGGTAATCGCATCAGCCCAGCTGACGGCACCATTAAATGTCAAAACGAATTGTTGTAATGAAGAATTCGCCCTAAATGAATGCAACAACAAATTTGTTTATGTTGTCTTCCCTAAAAGTACCTTTTTATAATATTTCAAATAATTTAAGAGTAAGTTAAGAGTGAAACCAGTAAAATATTAAAAGAACATAAAGGAAGGAGGTTAGAATGGAGTGCAGCTTTAAGAATTAAGTTAGCCTCAACATCTAAGATTCCCAAAGCACATCACGGGAAGTAGTGCAAGAATTAAACTCTTGTCATTTGCAGTTCCGGAAAACTTTCGGTTTAAACCAGTAAAATATAGTCATTATAAGTTTCTTTGTTTAAAAAATATCGCAATACTACAATTAATACTTATTTTACTCTTATTTGTTTTACAATAAAAACTTTTATTGCGACGTTCGTTTACGACGAGAGGGACACAAAATAAAATGTAAACAAACACTTCGTTTCTGATTGGTTGAAACAAATTTGCCGCAACTTTTAAATGTCATGGCGAATCTATGTTTTTCGCCTTAGATGCCAATTTTGACATTTGAGGGGACCACAAAAGTTGCTTTGTTGTAGCAATTCGCCGATGCGGTTACCTGTTAGATCTACCTTGATTGTAACGAAAGGTCATGTAGTGCACACAAAAAATGGCAAGCAAAGACTTTATGATAGAATTTTTTGATGTGTTAAAAAATGAAAATGCCATTTGGCAAACAAAAAGTGAAAAATATAAAGACAAATTAGAAAAATAAAAATCATGGGAAAAACTCGTAACAAAATGGAAAATTTTTATAATCCCTTGGAGTAAGCATTTCCATATTTTTGAGCGTTGCTACATGGGAATGCTTTTTTCTTTCGAGCAACCACTCTTCACTCCATTTTCTTTTTCTTTTTTTTTCGATTTTTTTCTTTTCTTGTTTTTTATTTTCTAAACATGTATATATAATTAAAAGCGCAGCTGCATCAGCCACTGCATCGTCGCACATGTTTTTTTAAGTTTCCTATCAACAGAAAAAACCAATTGTTAAATAAAAAATTTTCTGCCACAAAATTCAAACAGAAGCACAAACCGAAGTTCAAACACAAAATGAACATCATCCGCTTCGTAGCATATGCTTACTCTTCAACGTCGGCCGAATTATGATTTGTTCGAGCGTGTGTGGAGAAACGATATGCAATAAATCGCAGCAATAAATTTGCAAATCACACCAACAAATCGTTCGTCTATGGCCAGCTTAAGAAATGGTGTTGCCCATGGTACAATAAGGAGGTAGAACAGCTTCATAAAACTAATGAAATATCGATGAAAGATGAATGAAATGCATGGATTTTCTTTCAAACTAATTATCAAAAACCGTTCAATATTGCAAGACTGGTATATTTCATTCAATCATTGATTTTGATAATTTTTTGTTTTTATTTTTCAAAACAATTAATACACCCGTAAAATCGACAGATGTCAGATACGCACAAAAAAAATTGTAATCAGCTGCAATCTTTACCTTACTTTTTTATACTCTCAGCCATATGGGTACAGAGGGTATATATCAATTGATACGAAAAAACGTGCATCATTAAAAAAAAACGGTTTTAGACCATAGGCCTCTTTGGACCAAATCCGTTTCAGTACATTTGGTGTCGATCTAGCGATGTCCGTCCGTCTGTCTGGCTGGCTGGTGCGCACGATAACTCTCTAATTGAGTATCCTATTTGGTCCAAACTTAATACATCGTGATATTATTATCAGACATAGATCAAGTTCGGAGATGGACAATATCGGTCCACTCCTTCTGGTAACTCCCATAAAGAGTCAACATTTTGAGTAACCATATACCTCATAAAACGCAAACTTAATATCCGATTCAATTCAAACTTGGTACATCTTAATATTACCATCAACACAAAATGTTTTATAAAGATCGAGCAATTTCTTCTGATACCTCCCCCACATAGGGTTCAAGATTTTGAAAAACAAAACGATTAAAGAAACTGAAATAAGTTCCGACTCTCTTCAAACTTCACACATCCGAATATTTTTGCTAACGCACGATCTGTTGTAAATACGGTATATATGTATTACCAACCCATTCTGGTACCTCACGCACAAAGAGTTACAGTTTCCAATGCTTACATCAGTCATAACTTGCAAAACAAGTCGGCGATTCTTTACAACATAAAATTGGGTATTAATGTTCGATTACCTTCAAATTTAGCACATACCAATATTTTTACCTGTATTATATGAAGTATGAAAATGGAATACTTCGGGTCGCTATATCTCTACATTTTCCTAAATTTTGCACATATCTCATATAAAGTATAGGAAGTAGTCAATATTATCCAAATCTGAAACGTTGTACTATTTTTATCAGTCTACTGATGATTCACGCAGAAGGGGAAGGCCAAGAATGATGGAAAGACCAAGTAGAAGACAATATATCGGAACATGGTCTTTCAAATTGGAAAAACTGCGCACAAGACCGACGCGCCTGGAAATCTTTTCTAAACTCGGCTTTTGGAACAAATGTTCTGTCTCGAGCCAGCTAACAAACAAATTTTTTATTTTAAAAAATAAAATATTTTTTTTTTAAATCAATTATTGGAAGAAACTTACATTGCGGGTCGCGCATTAATGATAGATAACAGATTTGCCATGGAATTGAAAGATTGAACATTTAGCATCACATTTTTGAGAGAACATCCAGGCATTTCATTTGCCTTTCGCGCTAAATGAAAACAACTTGTTGCATGTAATATTGAATAATTCTGACAGGGAGCGGGCATAGCCTCAGGGCTGTATTTCTCTAGTTTTACGAAGCTGTTCTACCTCCTTATTGTACCATGATTATAGTTAAAGGTGCAAGTACATAAAAAGTTTGAAGTCATGGCTAGGCATATTAATGTCAAATCATAATGGAAAACGATTTTAGTGCGGCTTTGTAAACTCTTTATGAAATGGCACAAAATATGCCTAGCTATGACTTCAAGGTTCTTATGTACTTACACCCTAAGTTTACTTACTTCTGCCTGCGTTCTCCACTTTGTTAGCAACAAATTTAAACGTAAAGAACAACAAAACAAAGTTTTTGAAGTTCATGAATAATGATATTAGTAGAACCATGGTAGAAGGATACGGGAGGATGCATCAACGATTGGGAACATTGGTATATCGATGTATTTTCAAAAATCAGTAGTTTTTTGATAAGTTTTCTTATACGACACCAATCGGAGGTTGTTATAATATGCATTTTCTTAACAATTTTTACAAATTTGAATAACTTTTTATTCAAAATTAGTATGACGTCTGTGTCGATGAGAAAACCTGTATTCTTTTACCATAAGTGGAACTTTCAAGAATGAAAAATGTACCCGTAAAAATGATTATAGAAGTCTATTAGATTCTCATCGCCATAGACGAATTTTACTTACTGGATTGAGTCATTGGCTGGCTTCTCAGTTCAATTTCGGACATAAGTTGTGTTCCAGTACTTTTTTAGTAGTAAAACTAGCAGAAGAGAGAACAGTTCGAAATGTCATTCTCATTTAGGTTTGCTCAAAAAATAAGGGAACGGAAAATTAGCAGAAATGCGATAAAATGTCAAAATTCAAAATTCCAAAAGTAAACAGCCTAAATCGGACTGGTGAAACCTTACTGAAAAGGGCGCCAACACTTAAAAAATGAGTATTGAAGACGATAGGTTAAAATTAATAATTTATAATAATAATTAATAATCTGATTCCTCATTCAGCCAGTCCTCTTCACTGCTGGGATCATCCAAAAGTGAATACATCAGTTGCTCCATATTTTCTCTTTTTGTTTTTTGCACGACAAATATTAGTTTTTCCTTTAGTTTTCAAGTTGATCATTTTCCTTATTGAAATGTATCAACACATTTTTCAACCTTGTTAGCCCTGCCAATTAAATGTCAAATTTACAATATGCACATTTCTGCTCGGCCAAATTCATGTAGCTAAAACAAGCAGAAATGTGCACCACTCAGCGCCATTTTTTTCTCGAGAGAGCTGCAAGTTTTGCTAGTTTTTGGAGTACGGGAACGCGTTGTAGCAAAATTAGCGCTAATTAGTACTAATTTGCAGGTTCTGGAACACAACTATAATTTATATCTTTACGCTAGGCTTCTTTAGATTCAACTCATAATAACAGTGTGTTGGTAAATAAAACACACCTCATATTAAAGGGAACATTAATGTATCGTGCAATGTGAACCCGTCTATATTAAATGCATTTGGTTTGGACAGCTGGTTATTGTTTACATTTCAGAAGCACCCCACCGCACGTAACAGCACAAATGGAAATTGAATTTAAACAAAACTGAATATAAATCTATTAAACAATGGTTCAATTATTTAGTTTCTTGTTAAAGGCAACCAAAAAGGTAAACTACAGAGGTTGCCTCTCATGGGCGCTAATTAATTCTGCTCTCTTTCATAGACTCCTCGTGCTCACATGCGTAATGCCTTCTTAGACACACTACGGTTAACTGTCAAAGGAGGACATGGTGGAAATGGGCTACCCAAATACGGTGGCATTGGTGGTCAGGGGGGATGTGTTTATTTAGAGGCCAAGGAGGGTACAACCCTCAAACAACTGGCCCAACGCTTCAAAGAAAAGAAGGCAGCAGCTTCGAGTGGTGAAGACAGCAGCAAAGTAAGAATACTAGGAAGACGGGGAGTTGATGAGAAAATCGAAGTGCCTGTTGGAGTACAAATTTATGATGACAACGGAAAACTTTTGGCCGATCTAAATGAGCCGGGTGCCAGGTGCATTGCAGCAGGTGGAGGTATTGGTGGTTGTACCGGCACGAACTTCTTGGGCAAGCCGGGGGAGCATAAAACCATTAACTTAGATTTGAAATTAATTGCTGATGTGGGTTTGGTGGGCTTTCCCAATGCTGGCAAAAGTACATTCTTGAAAGCCATATCTAAGGCGAAACCAAAAATTGCATCATATCCATGTAAGCGGTAATATATATTTTCACATATTATTTTCTTTAATTATTTTGTGTTTTTAGTCACCACCATACGACCTCAGGTGGGTACGGTAGAATATCCTGATCTAAGATCCATAACCATTGCCGATTTGCCCGGTTTAATTGAGGGAGCCCATGCCAATTTCGGTATGGGTCACAAATTCTTAAAACACATTGAACGCACCCGCCTTCTTTTGTTTATGGTTGATATATTTGGTTTCCAATTAAGTCCAAAACATGCTCGTCGCAATTGTTTGGAAAATATTTATGCCCTAAACAAGGAATTGGAAATGTATGACGCCACATTATTAGACAAACCATGTATTTTACTGCTGAACAAAATGGATCTTGAAGGATCGTCGGAAATATTAAAAACTCAAAAGCCTTTCATAAAGGACTTGGAATCAAAGCTGCACGAATGCCCTCCTGAAATACGACCCGACCGGGTAATACGCTTTGAACGTATTCTCTCGATATCGGCACAAAATTCTGCACGCATACAAGATGTTAAAAAAGAATTGCGTAGAATACTTGATGAACATGCCGAAAAAGACACTGTTGCCGATGGCGAAGAAGTTAAGGAATTATTGCGGCAACGTGTTGGTGAAAGGGGTCCAAAAGTTACGTAAATAGTTAAAATATTTAATAAAAGAAGTAGAAATTAAAGGAAGTGTGTAATGTTTATTGGGTTTACATTTTAGATCTGAACAATTGTTCAGAAAGTATTCAAATTCTGGTGTAAAAAATGCTTATTGCAGCAATAGCTCAATAAAATAGGTTGCTCAACTTCAAAGCAACTCTGTGCTGGAGTCTTGTAGTGTCAAATAGACTTTCAAATAAGCAACAGTTGGCTTTGTTTATTTTTAATTTTTTTTTTAACAAAATTAATATATTGAGAAACCCCGCAGAAAAAGAATGGAATTTCGGTGTTATTTCACAAGATTAAACCTAAAACAGTAGGAAATTACAGTTTTATCACAAAATTGTACAATTTGTTACCCATTTCGGGGAAAATTTGCATTCATTTTGCAACCAAATTTGAAATAATTTCAATTATACTTTTTTATTCAAAACAATACACACACATACACAAAATATGTATATGTTTTGACAGAATGAGGGCACAAAAAGAAAAAATGCATAGCAGAAGAATATTTCAAAGTTAGCCTACATTCTCTTCATTGTACCATGGGTAGATGCATCGACACTTGGGAACATTAATATGCAAGTTTTGAAATGTTTTTACAAAAATAAGTAGATATTTATATTTTTTCTTATACAACACTAGTCGGAGATTGTTATGATATTAATTTTTCAACAATTTTTTCGAATTTGAATAACTTGTCATTCAAAATTTAGTTTGACAGTTCATTGTCCCAGCAGCTGTGTCGATCTGACTACCTGTATTACTCTACTATGATTGCATGACTTCGTCTTCTTAATTTTATTCATGCTACAATAAGAAGGTAGAACAAGTACGTAAAACTTCAGAAGTACAGCCCTCAGGCTATACCCGCTTCCTGTCAAATTCCCAAGCAATAAGTTTATTTTCATTTATTCAATATTTTTCCTCATTTTTAAAATCAGTTAAACGGCAGAATTAAATGCCAAGATTTTCTTTCAAAAATATGGTCTAAACAGTTATATCTTATAATTCCATGGCAAAACTGGCGAATAGCTATAATGCGCGTCTCGCAATGTACGCGCCTTCCAATCATTGATTTTGAAAATATTTTGATTTCATTTTTCAAAACAATAAATACCTACACAAAATTGGCAGAAGTCGGGCACACTTAGAAAAAATTGTAATCAGCTGGTAGCTCTACCTTACCTTTTTATTGTACCATGTTCCCATGCACAAAGATACCCATTGCTACAAATAACTATTATTCCAACACCTCCAAATGCTATAGGCATGGACAATGGTGTTCCACGAAGGAACTATATTTTAGCTGGATTTGAAAATAAATAAACAAAAAATCAGCTTTAAAATTACATGTTTTTTATCTTCAATTACGTTTAATTCAATCATTTTTGTTAATAAATTTAATAGATTCTCTTCAAAAACTAGATTGGTTAAATTTGTTTGTTTGTTTACAAAACGCCTGATTATTGAACAGCTGATGTTACTGGATAATTCCTACTGGCGAATTTTTTTCCAGTAAGAATTCGCAAACTCTCAGTAACTCAAGTGCCAAAATGTCTCTCTCATTTCGCTCTCACTTACTGGACTTTTGTGTAAAAGAACAGATTCAAGTAAAAATTTATACAAATTCTCGAGTAGCCGAACACTCTAATGTTACTGGAGAATTGCAAGCTTTACTGGAAGAATTGCAAGCTTTGTACAATAAAGAGGTAGGACAGGTTCGTGAAACTTCCGCTTCCTGTCAGACTCATTCAAATTTATATGCAAAAATTTGTTTTCATTTTTAAATTGAGTCAAATAGCCCGAAAACTGAATGAAATGCCTGGATTTTCGCTCAAAAATGTAATGCAAACTGTTAAATTTTTCAATATCATGGCGAAACTGGATAATAGCTTTAATGAGCGAGCCGAAGTCTAAATTTTTTTTTTCATATCAAACTTATTTATCTTAACTGAAAACTATTTTCCATCACTGATTTGTGTGTATATAGAATGTGATATTTTCAAATGTATAATATTATTCAAATTTGTAAATTGTTAATAGTATTAACAGTATAAGTACTAAACATTATTTAATATTTTATGGACATAGCTGCAGTGGTACGTAACGTAGCGTTTACGTATTGTTGGTATTTAAATTGTTGACAATTGCAACAGGCTTAGTGAACCCTATCTCATTTGTTTGTTGATATTTTTTGAGAAGGCAGCAAACAGAGTTTTTATTAATAAAATAAACTGTTTTTGAAGTATTTTATAAAAGAATCATGCACGATGTGACTTCCTTGGTCATGAAAATTGCAAAGTATATTGTAAACAATGTTTTTAACAAAACATTAATTTTCATCTATTTTGCTTTTAGAAAATTCCCCAAGTATTCAACAGAATTTATTCTGTGGCATCGCTTGTCGACTGGAGCAAGGTACCCAAAGTACCCACTTACTCGACCTATGTGCCAGCAGTTGTCAAAGTGAAGCGAACGAAGCAGTTGTTTTTCAGTGAATGCAGAGAATAGATACGGAAAAAATCCACGCAAGTTTTTCAAGTGCTTCTACAAAAAGATAAAAATCAAAATAAAATCTAAAAATGCATTAAATTAGTGAAATTTGCTGCTTCCCAAATGAAATTTACACAAATTCAATGAAATTGCAATGAGTATTATGCGAAAAATGTGAGATATTTAATGGAAAAATTCAAAGTGAAAAAATTGTCTAATTGGGAAGTCAGATTACAGCAAAAAAATGAATACATATACCTAAGTCAAGTCAAAACACACACGCACACACAACCAAACGGAAAATGGTACATAAGGAGAGAGCCACACAAGTAAATAAGTTTGCGGCAACTGAGCATTCCGTGAGAGAGTGAGAGCGAATGTCGAGTGTTTTTGTTTTGGTTAGCAAAAGCAAATAAATAAAACAACGCGATTCTTTCGTTCGTTTGGTCGGTCGGTCGGTTCGATTTGTGTGTTTGGTTAACAAGTGTTTACATACATACTACGTTGTTGTTATTTACATCTTTGACGTGTTGTTGGTTCTAAAACCGGCTGTTGTGTTATTGGAATTGTATCGTTTGTTTTCGTTTTTGTTTGGTGTTTGTCGATTTGGGGGCTAGGCTGGATTTGTTGTTGTTGTCGGTTTTGACAAAATGTCACAACAACACCAGCCGCGTAAACATTATCATATACATGCCCCATATCCGCATCATCCTCCGCCAGTTCCGGCACATCATACACATGCCCCCCATCCAGGACCTCCTCCACCACCTTCTTCCAGTTCACATCATGTTGCTGCTCAGCAGCAGCAACAACAACACCAGCAATGGTATAACGCACATGCAGCAGCGGGTATTCCCCCACCGCAGGCACAGCCACCGCCGCCACAATATCACCATGGTCTTCACATAAGAGATTCCCGCCATCTGCAACAACAACACCATCATGCTCCGCATCCCCACCACCCACAGCAACATGGCCATGCAATGCCAGCCCCACCGCCCCCACCACCAACGCATATGTTTACAAGTGGTTATGCTGGTGGTGGTGGCATCCCAGTGGGAGTGGGTGGTGGTGCAGGTGGCACAAGTTCAACGCACAATTCAGCATCGGCCATGCCGGCAACTGGCTCGTCGTCGTCGGCTTCGGCACCACATTTCTCAACACTGGCTGGTGTTGGTGGCCCCCCGAATGTCGTCGGCAGTGGAACTAGTGTTATTACTGGCTCAGGAGGAGGTGGAGTTATTGTTGGTTGTAGCCGAGTTTATGACCTTGAAATGGTAAATACACAACATGGTGGTGGGGCTGGTGCACCGTCTATGTTGGCCATTGGTGGTGCTAGAGGTGCAGCCTATGATGCCTATTCTCATAGTTCGTTATATACTCAGCCACCAACATCATCAAGTCAACGTCATCATCATCAACAGCAACAACAACAGCAGCTGCATCATCATCATCAGCAACAACAACAGCAGCAGCATCATTATCAGCAACAACAACATCAGCAGCATTACTATCATCATCAGCGTCTTCAACAGCAGCAGCATCAGCAACAACAACAACACTCACAACATATGCCTCCAATGATAACGAATATTAAATCAGAGCCAGTGGAACAATTAACGATAACACCATCCATCCAAATGGAGGAAATTATCATAAAACGTAAGTTCTACTATGCCTTAAGGATGTTGTAGTAATGAATGATGTGGAAGGGGAACAAAACATTAAACATAAATGGTAAATTGTTTCTTTAATGTATGTAAGAGACATGTGTTGATAGTCTCAAGTAAAGAAGAGTAGAGGGATAGAGAAACTGTGATAAGACATGTGTTTCTTTTGTCTTAACTAGAAATGACAAGGGATGGTATTGACTATGTAATTTTTCTACAAGTCGAAAAAATAACTAGCAAAATTTGGGAAGGATTTGAAACAATAACTGATGAATAGTAAACAATACATTGAGTTTAAAAAATATATTTTCGTCGCCCGGAATAATTTTTGCGTACGTATTTATTCGTTGCGAGGAAAAATGTCTTTAAATTATGAAATCTATTAACAATATAATCTTTTACTAGATTTTATAATTTATAGATAATATATATAATTTATAGAAGATGTTATTAGTTCGAAACCCTAAAACCATGATTTACTATGGCTTCAAATTTACTCCGAAAGTCACAACAAGGGATGAAATTGCGCAGTTCGTTGTGGAGGTTATATATAAGTAGATAAATAAAAGTTTTTCAATCAAAGGTGTAGAAAATTTAAGAAACGATTCAACGGTTTAACGGCATGTGAGATAAAGATTTAAAATGATCTATAAAGGAAAGGTTTGAATGAACCGACACTTAATCAAATTGACGTCAACTTTAGCGCCATTATTGTCTCCAATAACTTTTAATCTCCTCAGTTGAATACGAAGTACGTAAAATTTATTCCTAACATAGCAAATAAGTCTGAATTCGTTATTATATTCAATACGAAACATATGAGTGACATCTGTGCCTGTGTAAAGTTTTAGAGTTATATCTTAAATTGTGCTAGCTCTATCGTGTATTCAGTAGACGGGCAGATATAACGTGTGTCTGGTTACCCTAAAATTTGTAACGATTGTTGCTGAAAGTCGTCTGTTAACATGAAAGATCTGCAGAAGAGTGTGATTTGAGACGACAATTTTAACAGTTCTTTCACTGAGAGTTTGCAAATTCTTGCTGGACAAATTTCTTCTTGCAATCACTTGCAACTCCTCTTCTTCTCCTTTCGGGGATTTATATTTCGACAAGCAATTTAAAAACATATTTATTTCGCAAGCGTAATTGTTTTGTAGTTTTGTCATAAAGAAGTTGCTTGACAATTCCTGCAGGAAAACTAACCAGACACAAATATAGTAGATATAGCTAAATCAATAAAAAAATTTCACACTCCGAATATTTCGAATAGTTGTAAACGGAATGACAAACTAAATGTACCCTGTGATTAACGGCCGGCAAAATATTTTGCATTTAAAAATGCTGTTCATTTACCGTTATCAGTGTTGTCGAATCTATAAGGGGTGTGCCGGTTAGGATGCAGTCCGTTTTGTTTTCATAGCATTTTTCACACCTCTAAATAATCGGAGATCCCATAAAGTATGTATATTCGTAATCAGCACTTAATCCTAAGGTTCGTCTGTCTGCTGAAATCATTATTTGATGTAGAGCTTTGAAATTTGGCTTCATAGTTTGATTTGTGCCTAGGATCATTCGTAATAACAATGAGCTTTACCAGTTCACGTTTGCATACAGTCCCCTTATGATGATACCTCCCAATATTTAGTAGTTTCATGATTTTAGACACCCTTTTCCACGGAATTGTTTCTAATTTGTTATTTGGAATTATTATCATTTGAGTCTTATTTTTTACATTTTTTAAAAGCCTCCACCATTCTATGGAGGGTAAATTAACTTTGTTATTCCGTTTGTAACTCCTCGAAATACTCGTGATAGACCTTACAAAGTATATACTAGGTCAGCGTAAAATTCTTTGTGAATGTTCGTCTGTCTGCCTATCTGTTGTAATCACGCTATTTTTCGAACGCATCGAGATAGAAGAAATTTTGCACACATGTGAAAATGAACCATGTTGGTCCACGTCGTATAGCCTCCATATAATGGTACCTCCAACATTCGGTATTTTGATAATTTTAGCGGCATTATTTGCCGGAATTGTTTAAAATTCCGTATTTAAAAATGATAATGAGCACAACAGGCTATGACAAAAAAAAAAAAAAATACATATTCAGGCATACGTCTTTCCATAGCCCGATATAATATAACCATATAACGATACCTCCCAATATTCGGTATTTTTATGATTTTAGAGTCATCATAGACCGGAATTATTTCAAATTTTTGTTTAAATTTCGTAATTGGTATTACAGCAGATGATAAAAAATGTGTGTGCACGCCTACATAAAGTCCATAATGGGTTCTACAATCGGTCCATTGTCCTCCAACATTTCCCATATTGGTTTCCATATAACGGTACTCACCGATATTTGGTATTTTGGTGATCCACAATATTCCACAGAATTGTTTCAAAAATGGTATTTAAGACCCGCAATAGATAACAATCCTTGTAATAGAAAATTGTTGATATGGGTTTTAGTTCTAGTGTGGCCTCATATAACAATTATATTTACTTTATTGTAGTTTGATAATTTTAACTCAAACCGATCTCATTGGTATTTGCAGTTTAAAGTGCAATCCAAATGACTTTATTAAGAAAGTTTTTTTACTTAATAATGGAGGACATCGGTCCAAACTTAATATTTATATCCTTGGGTAAGGGTCTTTGTGCATTTGTTTGTAACATAGGGAAAGAAACAAGTTAGGCCGTAGTTCTGAGTCGATACATGGATGTTCGAGATAAACCCTATTGAAATTGGAGATAATCGATTAATGTTTACATATAGCTCCTATACATATCGTCATCCGATTTGTTTTTATTGTACACCTAAGGTTTAATATTAGCTAAAATAAGATAGAATTTGCCACATGAGAAACAAGTATTTCAAATTTGGTGAAGATCGATTCGGATATATCTATAGCTTCTATATCTATTGTTCTTTGGATTTGTTATTTTGTTATTTTTGTGTAACACAAATACAGCTCAGAAATACCTTTGCAAAATTTTATTGAGATCGGTTCACATTTAGATTTATATAGCTTCTATATATATGTTTATCCAATTTTAAGTTTATTATTGCACACAAAATTAAAAAGATTTTGGGGCGTAAGACGGAATTCAGCCGAAATTTGGTGAAAGTTGGTTCAGATATAACTATTTGTCCCATCAATATTTTATTAGTCGATTTTGACACACCCGTAAAATGCACTCCAAACAATGATATTTGGTACCAGCTATCAGAGACAGCATATAAATACCGCTGCTAAATGTTATAGAGATCGGTTTCGATTTACATATAATTTCCAAATATATCTTTATCCGATTTCAGGTTTATTGTGCACTAAAAGTGTAATTTCAGCTTAGATAGGATAGATTTTGGGGAAATTAGGTTCAGATATAGCTAGCTCAATATTGAAAAACACAAATGCCTCCGTCGAATTGATTGAAAATCGATTCATAGTGGGATAGACTATATATAAGTTCCTTTTGGTTTTTAATTATCATTATAATTGTTTATTTGTTAGCTCTACCTTTCCTTACAGTTTTTTTCTTTTTTCAGGTGTTAATTTTATTTTCATACCCTTCACCATTCTATGAAGGGTATATTATATTTATCATTTCGTTTGTATACAATGTATATATATTCTGGATCAGCGTAAAATTCTAAGACGATTTAGCGATGAGCGTCTGTCTATTGTAAACACGCTATTTTTCGAACGAATTGAAATAGAAGGCTAATATTGTATGTGTAAATGGGCCATTTCGGTACACGTTTTCCTAAAGCGCCATTTAACAGTACCTCGCGATATTCTGTATTTTGATGATTTTAGCGACTTCATTCAATCGAATTGTTTCAAAATTTGTATTAGAATTTCGTATTGGGTACTACAGCCCATGCAAATTTCGTATGCATGTCCAAATCTTCGTATAGGCCCCATATAACGGTACCTCCCTGTATTCGTTATTTTGATTATTTTAGCGACATTATTTGCAGGAATTGTTTCAATTTGGTATTTGAAGATCTTAGTGGGCACTACAGCTAACGACAAAAAATTACTTTTTGTAGATCCACGTCTTCGTATAGCCCCCGCATAAAGGTAGACATTTAAACGTTTTTTTTTTCGGAATTTTTAAAATTTTTTAACTTCCTTCCAAGTGGAGGGTATTAATAGTTCGGCCCGGTCGAACTGAGTTGCTTCTACTTAAAATTTCTTAATTTCTTAGTTTTAAAAGTTTTATTTAAAAATAAGTTTTATAATTTTACCTATTTTAAATTCAATAGAATGTTTTGAAAAACAAAAGTCCCATCGATGAATCATTACTAACTGCCTTAAAAAAAAGAAGAAAAAGTGTTATTTCTTTATGAACTAGTTTCTTTATGAACCAGTTTCAAAAAATATTTTTTTATGTACTTTTTGCCTCCGCTGTTTTCGAAGAATTTACAATAAACATCATCACGTTGAGATCGTTCTGAACTGTTATTATATTTCTTCCAAAAATACAAAAGTTACGTAGCATTAATTGAAAAATATAGTATATAGTAATACTATAGTAATATTAATTACTAAATGATATAAGTAATATATATAATTTAAGTAGGAAAATATTCAATTTCATTTGGAAATTGTTACCTACAATATTATTATTACTTATTATTAGTAATATCCTAAAACAATGCTAATTCATTGTACGATAAAAACAAAATGCCTAGAGCTATTTTTTCAGACTATAGTTTGATTTTTCTTTTTCGATTTATTCCCTTTAAAGTGATTGAATCCTTACTGCATGCAAGCAAATATGATATTATTTATAACTTTAAGGGTTAGCAAATGCAGAAGCTGCAAGAATCTACTATTTTTCCCTCATAGTGGAAAAATCACAGTTCTTGCTGTTCTGGAACAGATCAACTGATGGGTTACGATATCTCGGAAACTATATATTGTATTGGCATTTAGGGTATCGTATAGTGCTAAATAATAGGTTAATCAACATTA